AGGTAGGAGAGAGAGAGAGAGAGAGAGAGAGAAAGAGAGGCCGCAAGGGGAAGGCGTTAAGAGTACGTCGTAAGCACTTGTACGAATATTGTAATTAACATGTGTATGAGTGTGCCGGCGCCGCGCAGTATTTGCGTCACTGCGCATCGCTGTATAATTGTCCTACCAATGATCGTGTTTGCGTATGGTTTTTCAACGAATTTGTGATATTAAGTTGCGTATATTTACAGCAGTACACGTCCCTCGATTTTATCGTTCCTCGAAGACTGCGAGCACCGAGCGATTATCCAATGAAGCAAAAGACATTTAGAGGACATTTGAGAAATATTTACGAGAGATTTGGAAATTTTCTAGACGTTTGTGTTGCTCGGGTTTAACAATTGCTTCTTTGCAACTTAAGATAACTGTGACTTAGATAACTGTGGCGACAATAGTCGTTACAGTGATGATTATCCAATAAAATGATCTCAATGCTAAATTATCAAGTGACTTCACGGGAAGATTAATGGTAGAATTTTTGAGAAGTAGAAGTAGATTTTTTTCGAACTACAACGAATTGTCTGACGTAATTTTATCATCGCGTTATGACACAGCAATAATCCCATCTCGAGCAATAATTTCAGTAGCAATAGTTGCAATTCTGTTCTGAAGTTTTTCATTGTAGTTTCCTCGTCTTGAACTTTCCTTAGTATTCACAATTCAATTTTATATTCAATTTTATATATTTAATGGAATCATTGACTGCAAAGAATTTCAAATGGAAAGGAGAAGAGTTACTTTTTTTTCAAAATTTAGACAGAAATTTATTTAAACTTGTCTTCACCGAAATAAGAGTAATTTACTTAAAGCTTCAAAGAAATTTCTGAAAAGTTTTTGTATTTTACAGAAATTTTGATTATTATATATTTAGTTATACGTGATAAATAAAAAAAAATATAATCTTTCGGTGTTCGCACGTCCAATTCATCGAAGTCCGTTGTTCATCCTAGATCCTTTAGTTTTTCCAGACACTCCTATCATTCCTCAATCCTATCAAGTAGATTCTAAGCAGAGACAGTATTTGAATGGGGTTATTGGAGGACGAAAGAATTATTGTTAAATAACTGTATTGAGTAGCGCGCGAGCGCGCATCGCGTGTGTGCAGTGGCAAAAAAAAAACAACCGAAATGCAGCCTAATTATGCGAGTGTATATGTCGATGAGATGCGATTGATCGCTCATTTGACTCAAAGTCAAGGGAAAAAAGGCATAATATTATTATCCTTTTAAATAAATAATAATTAAAATATAGCAAATATTTATTTTACTTATTTTTAAAATAATGTATCTATTAATTTGTACGAAAAACCCATGTTTAAATTTGTTTAACAATTTGAATTAAATATTATTTCAAGATTGATTGTAACTATTGTAAACCTGACTTGATACAATCAGGTTTGCACTCTTATAATCGTGCAAACTTGACACAAAGATCTGTAATAGCGATTGATCGCGTGTCGATATATCGACAAGGCTCAAAGTCTCCTCCATTCGCTCGACCCGTACACCTCAATTGTTTTATGCAAAACCTTTGAGAAGCAAAATGTGTACACGCTTAAAATGCGCTGATCGAGAAATATATGACAGAAGTGGAATATAAAATTCCGAAATATAAAAAAATGCAAAAATTAAGACCAATCTCAATTATGCAAAGCTCTGAAAAACTATCTAACAGAAGTCTAAATGATAACTATTTTTTTTAGATACCTCATGATTTCTTAAAATTTTAAGAGCGACATTTTAAATATTATTTTAATACATTTTAAAGAAATTTAGTACATTTTAAAGAATGGAAGTTATGATACAATAAAAACATGAAAATAATCTGCTTGATATTGCAGATATATTGATTAATATTGCAGATTATACTCAAATACGATTATTATTCATAAGGGTCAATAAAACATTTTTTATAATATTTTATTTTTTGTAATATTGGAAACTTAATTCACGATAATATTGGTTTCAATTTTTGTATAAGATCCAAGATGTTAAGAAATAAATCAGGAAACAGAGTCCGCGAAATTGTCGCTCAAGAAAAACGCTCAGGACAATTTCATTTGCGACTGACTTCAATCGTACTTACATTTAACGGTTTGAAGATTTCCGATGAAAAGATCGACGAATTACAAAAAGACAAAAAATATTCGAACAAAAGAGCAATTTATTTGGAAAAGCAAAACATAACTGTTCGAATAAGGGAAATTAAAGCAACGACACGTTCCTTAAGTCCATTCCAATGCAATTGTTGCGATAATTAATATTAATATAATATAATTAAAAGATTCGGCTCAAAATCATCGTTAAATTAGATTAGTCTCTGCTTGCTTCATTCGCGCGTATAATCTTAAAAATTGGCGTTATAATCGAGGATTATAAACCCGAATGTCTTTTGTAATATGGAAATTTGTCTATGTATGTACTTACGAAATTTTTTTAAAAGGATCTCATTTTACATTACATTTTATCGCAATCGGGGGTCTCTCTTTGATACCTTCAATCGCAAGATGAAAAAAAGATTATGCTCATCCTACATATCCCCAACCTCTTCTGAGCACTGCCTAATCGTGCACAAAGATATACTTTGTAAACGGGGTACTATAGGGCCGAGCGCGAGCAAACTCGTACATAATTAACACAACCAAATTCCATTCAATTGAAAAATGAGAATCGAATGAAAGAGAAAGAATAAAGACAGAAAGAAATTAGTCCACCTCATTGCATCTCACGAAATGCAATAAAGGACACCTCTCCTTCTCTTAAAATCTTTTGTCATTATCGATGGATTCAATTTCAATATCAATTTGTCATTATCATATGGATTCTTTAAATAACTGTATTTACTTTTACAAAAGATAGCATTTTTATAAAAATATTAATAATTAAATATTACAGATTTCTAAATTAAAAATTGTAATATTGATTAAAATAGAACTAAACAAGTATATAGTATATAATATATTTGAATCTTTTCCGTTTACTCTATTAAAAATGTTCTTTTATAAAATGTTTTCAGTGTATAAAGAAGATGCAGAATGCATCAACACATTTGAGAACAATGTATTTTATACAGAAGAAATCGATTAAAAATTCATACTTTATTAGAATGATATCGATGAAAAGTTAAGATATGAATCTCAAAGAATGATTTGCTTTCAAAATTTAGAGCAATTTAGGAGAGGTAATCTTTTTAATGTTGTGGATTAGTTTCAGAGCGAAGTACAGATAATATTCGTAAAGCAAAAATGATGGATTTATTATAAAGAGAATGAACTGTCAATCGACAAAAAGAGAAACCACTGTAAGATATACATATTACATAATGTAACGCTGCCACTGAACACATCCCGTTAGTACAATTACCATATATAATAATAATAATAATAATAATAATAATAATATTAATAATCCGCAGTATACTGGGACACACCGTATTATTAATTGAATTGATATTTATTAACAATTATAATTATTATATTATTACCACTATTATCTATACCATTTGTACTTTACACTTCAGTTCGAACGAAATAAATGCCTTCTTTTTCATAAAACTGTCAATGTGACGACAAAAGCATATTGAATTAAATCATTAGCCTTTTCATATTATCATTTGGAGAATGGAATATCATACCAAAGAAATTATCGCGTTTTTTTTATAAATAGTCGCATAAAAATTTAGGATTAAATAACTTTAGATAAAATTTAATTTCTTTCGTCACAAATTTTTGATTTTCAACATTGCTATCTCTGGCGATTTGTATGATTTTTATTACGACCATTTCTGTAATTGTTGTGACGAAATTTATTTTCCTTGTTGTTCTTAATTTCTCGAAACTCACTTTGTATACGTTGCCATAATCTTATTCTCAAATGCAATAGGATATACATTATCCCGTAATCCCTGAATTTTTTATTAATTTACATTACATAATTTACATCACACAGATAACTTGAAAATAAAGAAATTGCATAAATCAAAATTTGACATATCGACAAAAAAGCTTTTAATCTAAACGGCATTGTTTAATTCAGCCATTTTCAAATTAAAAGTTCGCGTTCTGTATATTATCATAAAAATATTTAATGTTAATATGATACAATTACAAACTCACGTTAGATCTTTAAAATCAATAACTCTTGTAACATGGAGAGTAATCAAAAAAATCATTGTTGCTATTCCATTGATAAAAATCATCATAAATAATTTAACTGTATTAAACATTTTAACTGTTACACTATGTTTTAACATTTATACTATATCGTAACTGTATTTGTACTGTATCCTAATCGATCAAGTATCAATCATGTTCAAATTATATAGTTTTCGATATAAATATTAATATATAGTTAATAGTTTTCGATATAAATATTAATATTAATTATTAAAATTACAATACAACGATGTTATGATGATATTAAAATTAAAGTAGATCAGATAAATCGTTACGTTACATGACAAATTTTTTGGCAATATACTTAAGACAAGTACATCTATTGGCGTCATCTATCCATATACAAGCAATTGCAAATTCCAGAAAAAATGCGGTTGCTAGAAACTGTAAAAATAAAAATAAAGGAAAGATAAAAATAGGAAATGGGAAAATAGGAAAATAGGAATACAAAAAAATAATTAATTAGCATATTTAGTGATATACTAACCTCATATAAACACACAAAAATAGATTTTGGTTTTCGAAAAACTTGTGGAAATATCGTGGAATTGATAATAATAATGTAGATGTTTGTTACAATTAAAAAAGATATAATTGATGGACTTGATATTAGAGGATTACCATAATCATCTTCCACAACATTAGCAAAACATGTTTGAAAGAAAGATTTATTTTTAAATTATTGAGAACTAATGCCCATATCGTACACGATAATCGCGCCATTTTGGAGAATGCTATTAAATAATAATAGTTTAGCCATACAGATTTAATTTATAAATTATTATCAGTTGTGAGAACAGAAGAGATATTTTTAGTGACATCTGCAATGAAGTTAGCTTTATTAGGTTAAAGGAATTATTCATCAAAATAATTTTATCATAATTTAGGAAGAGTTTGTGATCAATAAATATATTCGTCTAAGAAATCATGATTTTATTATAGTAATTTATGGAACAATAATATTTTAGATTCTACAGTAATAAATATATAATTTTATAATATAAAATTTATTTATATTTCTTTTCAAAATTAAATAAAAAAATAGAAAGATATGAATTTTATACATATCTACATAATAAGAAAACGTAATAGCAGATGACTGTAATAATAATTTTAGAAAGTATTACAACGATAGATATTTATTATAAGACAAGAACATGTAGTGGATTAGAAAAAACTGTAATTTTTATAATTTATCATAAAAGGATTCATTTGTTGAATTTTGTAAAAGAATGTTCGAGTCACTTCAGGATTGCTGAAAGTAATCTTCTTGTTTTTATCTTTGCGATGTCTTTTATTTTTTCTTAAAAATAAAAAAGTTGTTATTAGATTATATAATTAAAGCATTTAATTTCAAATTATTAATTTAAAACTAATTAAAATTTATATATTAATTTTATTTATGTATAAAAACATTACTGCAACCTTTAGTAAACACATAGTTTATAATTAATATTCTATAAGTAACAAAGATTATTTAAATAAAATATTTTGTTAAAATTTTAACAAAATAAATGAGTTTGTTTTCAATATTATTAAAAGATTTAAATTTGATATGCTGTTGAATTTAATGAAAAAAATTCTTTTCGTTAAGGATTGTATATATTCACAAATGGGTAAGCTTTCTAATTTTATTACATGTCGGACAATTTTGAGGATAAGATTTGAAGTTTTCGGAATTCACTACTTGTTCCATGTATCCAGAAATGTGTCGAGAGATTCGGTGGCATCCAGCATCCATACGAACGACAATAACGACATACAAAATGCCATATATGTGGCTATATAATCTTCAGCCATATAATTCGCAAACAAAGTTAACCAAGAATAACTATCCAGACCCATAGTAGTATTCAACCATAATAACTAAAATAAAATAGATGAGCTACATATTTCGTACATTGAAAGTTTCTTGTATGGCAAAAATTTTATACATATATTTCACAAATAAAATTTATTAATAAGAATTGTTTAACAAAAAAATTTAAGCCAAAAGATTAAACTAAGTAAAAATCTATTTAAGAACAATAATGCATTATATTTTTCTTTAATAGAAACCACATACCCATTTACTAGATATTTGAGTTAGACAAAAAATTGAGTGCATCATTGGTATCCATATCATATGGATCGCTAAATTTGTGCTCAACGCAGCTACTAACATCTGAAGAATAAAATCGATTTTCGATCAGTATTATTTTCGATTGTCAATCCGATGTTATTTCATATCAATTGCATATCAATAAAATTTTTATTCGATTTATTTTGCTGTCTTTAATCTGATTTTATATACTTAAAAATTTTTTTTCTTCTATGATAATTTTATCTGAGCCAACTACATAAAGGTATCTTCTTTGTTTTTTTTTTAAATCGATTTTAAAAGAATATATAATAAATTTAGGACTCACTTCATAAATGTAAAGTAGCTGAATTGGTGGTTCTTTAAGAGTTACAGGCCATAATCTATATTCTGCTAATAGACATAAAACTGAGAACACGAAGGGTATCGACGCATATGATGGATCGAAAGGCAAAACGTTCTCTTCCTCAAAGCATAGACCGATTATGCAGATCTGTCGTAAATGCGTGTATAATCCTGTCGCCACCACAGCTATCCAATGAGGATCCACAAAATTTGCATAATATTTTACTGTTTCCATCTCAAATTAACGCAACAACCTTTTTTAGAAAACCTTTGCACCAAAAATTTCTGTTGCTATTTGTCCACTTTTCCACTGATGACTTCACTATGATTTCAGACCAAAGTAGCAAAAAAAATCAGCTAAATCTAAAAAAAATACTTTTAAGAAAAATGATTCTTTATAATTAAGATTTATTTTCAAAAAATTAATTTCCCTTTATATCGAACTTTTTTTATAATTATTCAGTATTAGAATCAGATATAAAGAAAAAAAATGTTCTAATACGCGAATAAAATAAATCATATTAGTACAGAATGTTTATCAAAATGTTAGTTATTGAATTATTGAATTATTGAATTATTGAATTATTGAATTATAACAAACCTTGCATTGTGACAAAAATAATGTTATAAAGGAATTTTATAGAGTTTCATATAGTTCTCTATAAGATTAAACACGAAGATCTTTGGTTAATTATTTTTTTTAACATTAGCGACAGTGATAGATACACAAATGCTTGATATAATTAATGTCTTCGCATTAAACCTTTCATCAGGGTTAAATATCAATATAAATAATTATAGATCTTATACAAACTGTTAATTTATCATGACACTACTATTATCTCGACATTGAGTATTTAGGTTATAAAATTATCCTGTCATGCTGTAAATGTCAAGGCCTTCTTGCATCTGTTTCACTGAGCATTTAATTTTTCATAAAGAATTAATATTGTTAATTTACGATTTAACAATAATATTACGATTTAAAGTACTTATTGTTGTATTAATAAAATTATCTTTATTATTGAAATATAAGTAATTTAATTTAAATTAAAAATATTAAATTTATTATTTAAAAATCTAATTTGATGAATATTAAGTTAAATTCATTTATCTGATTTGTCAGTGATAATCATAATCCAATATAATAAGCATTAAATGTCATTATACTTTTAGCCTAAATTTTAATTTATAATTCAATGTAAATCATTTCTATATTCTTAAAGATTAATCCTAATTTATTATTTAATGTCATATTTTAAAATTATGTAAAATATCACGATCCTTTTATTCTCCAAAATATTAATCTTCTTTAATAAATACAATGATTAATAATTTTTAAAAATTTTGAATAAATATGTTATACAAAAATTTATTAGTCTATTTTAATAAAGAATAGATGCAATCAATATAAATCAAATGCATTAATCGTCATGTTCTCTCCTTTCAACAATATTAATGTTTTTACCTCGGAATTTTAGTAGTCGACTTATACAAGTCGACTTTATTATTCAACACCATTCGTTTTCTTAGCAGTAGCAGGGAAGCTATCGCTAAATGTAATGCATTATGTATGAAAGCGAAATACAAGTCCTATTGTTCCGAAAAGGATAAATCTGGAAAGAGAGCTAGAAGAGAGTGGCTATTGCGGAGAAAAACGATCGTTTCTTTTTATCAAAGTATTAGACATTAGAGCATAGAGAATAATAGCAGCACAAGTATTTTATTATACATATTACATATATATCTTACATATATATCTGATATATATAAAAATGTCGTTCATCATATGGAACTTACTCTTTGATAACACGGAACTTACTCTTTGATAATAATAATATACAATGCGTAAGTATATATTTTTCTATATATTTTTCTTATATTATTTTATATTATAAAATATAAAACTTTGTGATTTTTGTTTGCATCATAATTATAATCTTAAAAATTCAATTAGAATTATTATTCAATAATATTATTTAATGTTTCATTAATCATTATTAAAGATAAATATTACTTATAAAAGCAGATGTAGTATGAAAATTATAGAGAAAGTGTGTCTCTGAATATTTCCTAGATAAATCAAATGTTTTTTTAAAAAATGTTGTCTGGTATTTCTAGTTTTTTTGCTTTGAGATTTTTTTGCGTAATCTTTAATTTAAACTTCTAATCCTTCACAAGTGGATAATATTTATCCGGAAGAAATTAGCAGTTTCCACTTCGGATGAAGAGAATTGGATGAAAATAAATCAATCAAGAACCTGAAAAGAAAGAAGACGTGGACAAGAGTATTCCATTAACCGGCAACGTAGAGAGTCTGAGTCACGTCAGAGTATTTGTTACGTGATTCAAAAGGAGAATTAAAGAATTTCTTTCAAACATCCGTTACAAATCGGTTCTTGTTATCTTTATAAAATCATTAGAAATGAAAAGTGCAAGATGTGTGATCATAAATAAGCGACAAAGTAGAATATTAGGATTCCATATTAGGATTCTCACAATAGCTGACAATTGGATGTTAAAACTCGTCGCTTCCACAGACACGATTGAATAACTTCGAACAGAGCACTCAACTAGGTAGAGAGCACCAGGAAATTGCCATCTCTTCGATCTACCCTCTCTTTTGTCTGCTCCTTATGCAGTTGACAATTTCGTTACGTAAATGCGGGTTAAGATTCAAAGATGAAATCACACATTGAGAAATAAAAAAGCTTTAAGCTTTTATCATAAAAAGTAAAGTTAAGTAAGTTTTGATTTACATAAAATTTAATTTTTTCAAAATTTTCAACAATCTCTTTACGCAATCCAAATTAAATACTTATTTCAAAACAACTTCTTGCTTATGTCTGCCATTATAAAAATGCCCGTTTATTTTGCTCTTATCTATGAGATAGTAATACTATATAATACTATTCAATAAAATGGGATTATCCCATGACGATATCAACATGTAAAAACCAAATTACTCTTTGGAAAACTGATTGCCTCGAGGAACTTCTTTCTCCACGCTACAGATAGTAGTTTCCTTAACGATTCTTGACGTCAGAGATACAACTACACAGCCGAGTTGAATCTCTGACGCGCAAGAGTGGCCCAATATGACTCGCAACACATTCCGGGAAAGTCCCAGCGATTACTCCGATCCGACCTGACAACGTAGTCATGACAACGGCACAGTGCATCGAGGAAAAGTACATTCGTTTCCGTTCGGCTTCTTTCAACGTGTAAGAGGCAGCACGGTAATAAAAGAGAAAAGATAAAGGAGCAAAGGAGGAGATGGCATGCGGCAAGTTAAGGAGGGAAATCCGACCGAAGGAGAGTCCTCGGAGAGTCAACTGCTCTCTCAGAGCGATTCCATCCCTCCTTTCTGCTCTCGAGTAGAGGAAAATGACTTTCCTCGAGCACACACCGTTCTTACTTTCTTCGGGTTCTTACGCCAAGCCGCTTTAAGATTATTATCGACCTTGTTTCGTACCGCATACTAAGAGAATTAACATTTTCCTCCCGGGGATTTACCGTCCGACTCTACTGTGATAAAATTTTTGGTCATTGCGAAATCAAACGAAATTATCATATGCTATTCATAGCGTTACTCCATCGATTTGTTTGCAATTTTCATTTTTATTTTAATATATAAGGTAAATATATTATATTTAATAAAAGAAATGAAAGAATTTAATGTAAAAATATTTAGTGACTCCGATTACTTTTTCAGATATAAACTTGTTGCGTTAAGATGATATTTTAGCTATTCTGATATTATGGAGATAGATTTAAAGCAATATTTATAGAAGATCTTAAACAATATTTTATTATAAAATTTAAGTACGCGAGATATATATCATTATATTTGAAATTTAACAATAATAATATAATTGCAAAAATACAAATATATAATAGTCAAAATAATATATTAATATTTAAAATTTATAATATAGACAATTATTTTTAAAAAAGAAAACTTAGCTACTTACTACTTAAGATATCTTTTCTTTGATAAAAATAATTCTTATAATTTCATAAATGGAATAAAAAAGAAAATCATGTAAAATTCGAAGACAGTCAAGTCTAGATTTTTTTTTATGTATATTTAATTTCTACGGACAATAACCTTCATTTATCACCGTATTTTGAAAGAAAGACTGTTTTCGTTCCTTTCTAGATCACGATCAGATTGCCTAACATCTCACGTCAGCAACAGTAGCGAGCGTTAAACGTTTTTTTCTATCGTCGCAACGGGAGGTGTACGATTGAAAACTGGAATCGAGCTTATCTGGAGTAATTTGATTTACAGCCTGAATGCTCCCTTGATTTCGTACTTGTAATCAAATTACAAATGATGTCGCTTTAAACGACAACGCCCTAATTTCGTCTTTCAGACACTCCTATGCCTCTTCAATTTCATGATATCGCCTTCTTAACGCAATCTGCCGTTGCCTTGAAAGATGTTAATTAAGAACTATATAACACGTTTCAGCAATAGCTTACTTAAAATAACAAATCCATATATCAAGCAAAGTAAGTTTCTGAACATGATGCAGTAATTTGTTAGTAGTCGATTGTAGTCCCGAATTTGTAATCGATTTGTTAATGTACTGGATGGTTTTCCTTAATAATTTCATCAAAGGCTGATGAGTCTCTTTTCTAATTAAATAACACAATTCTTAAATGAAGCTATATTCCTACATTCTAAAAATGTGAAAAACTAAAATCTTGAAAAAAAAATGTTCATTTAGCTAAGCTATAATAAACTTGTTTGTTCAATTATCTATTCAATTATCAAACAATTATACGCCACGAGATAATGTCAAACAAATAGACAATCGCACGAATGAGCAAGTAAAACTAAATTGCATTGTCACTGACAGCGTAAAAGTTAACGCGTCCACCTACGCAACTAACCGAATGACTAGCTGCTATCGATCTGCGTATCTGTTATCGATCTCGGACCGCGGTATTCATGACGGGAAGCTAACGAAACTCGCTGAACGTGATCGCGATTGGTCGGACAGCACCTCTGAAGGTGAAGGGGAAGAGGTGGGGAGTTACATAAAGTACGGCACAACGCGGATGGAGCGGCAATTCGCCGCGAAATACCAGTCGTGCGCACTCCAACTCGCGGGATCACCACAGGCACGTGGATATCATCGCTGTCAAGAGGAATCTCTCGGATACGTCAGATCGTCGAAGTTCGATACTTCAAACGTGAGTCGATCTTTCGTTTAGCTTTAGCTGCGAAACAGTAAAATATATTTTGATTTCTCTGTAAACCAAGTCCCCTTCTTGGCAATCATATTGTAATGCTTGAAGTATAATAAATTCAATTCAATTCAATATATTTTGGTTTCTCCGAAGCGTTTCCCAAAATCAATATTGTGACAACAGGTTGAGTTTTAATTTCTATCGGCGTTTCAAATCTGTTTGCGATATCAAATTTTTCGAGAGCTAGAGAAAGGATATTCGTTGTTTTTGAAATATGTGTATTGTACACTTTTAAAGATAATTTTTATGTGATAATTTTTATAGTTTATGAGTAACAAATTATAAATTAGAATGATATATTTATGATATGTATTTATGATATGTATGTATTTATGATATGTATTTCTGTAGAAAATACGATTTAATTAAATTCAGTTAGACAAGTGTATGAGTGTATTTTATAATTGTCCTGTTGCTAATCCTGTTATTGTAATAATTATAATGTGCATTGTAACAGCATTTTGTAACATTTTTTACAAAAAATTTAGAATATGGAATAATATAAATATATATTGTAAATTTATATATATTTGTTTGATAAGATACTCAGTAACTTCAAAAACATTTAGTATCTCGAGAGTTCCATAATTGATGTCCAGGAGTAAACTTTAATAGCGCTTGTTAGTCTTTAAACGTGCATAGAGTGTCCAAAACTAATTATTGAGCTTTCGCTTCGTTGCAGTTTCCGTCTCGACATAGTCAGACCGAAAAGCTCGCTAACCGCATTTAGCTTGTTAAATTAATCCGTCACGCTCTTCAAAGCAATTATATCTCGAAGAAAAAGGTCGGATAGTATTTTGAGAACATTTAATATTTACAAGTATTTTTAGCACATTCACGTGTTATAAATAGGAACTACCGTCTGAATAATTGTAGGAATAAGAACATTTTCAATGCTTGCTATATTTAGGAGTTGCAAATTCAGAACTCACGAATATTTTTGTTGATTTCATTCGTTCTCACAATGCAATGCATTTGCAGAATTTTTTATCTCTTTTAAAATTTCCTTTATTGTATTGATCAATATCTGAGGAAATACATCAACCGAAAGATCAATAAATAATTTTATTACATAATCAACTGTGTATATAACATTATCATAACTCGATAAGTTAATACTATCTTTCTTATCACAGAACATTATTAACATTATATGCAGTTTAATTTTATTTTACAAAACTTACTAAATAAATTCTTTCTGTTACAAGAATAATGTGCTTATAATCAAAGTATAATAATTTTAATCAATTTATTATTATATTCAAATAATTATTATCTCCTCATAGAAAAGAATAAGCAAGTATTAACGCATTAAGAATTTTTCATTTAAGATATTATAAACAAGATATTATAAACAAGTTTTTGCAATATATATTAAATAGACAGATCTGTTGTATTATTTATCAGAACCAATGTAACTAAAATAAAATGTGAAAAATAGAATTTGAGAAATTAATTTATACTTAAAGAGTTTCATATTTTGATAAATGAAAATAAAATTCTCATAAAAATATTCAGCACAAAAAAATTAAATAACTCTATAATGCTATTTAGTATTATTTTAAATAAGAGGTAAAATGCTTTGACTTCACATTTAATTTAAATTTTTTTGCGGATTTAAAGAAACAGTGATTAATCATGGTCAAATTACTACTTATTTTACGTTGCCATAAAATAGATAGCAGAACGCTTGTAAATGCAATATCAATCCTTGAATATCTCGTATGTTATGTAAGATACGACACGAGATATAAATTAATGAATACAATAGCTCTCTTTTAATAAATAAAATATGATACTATAGAATTATATATGCAACATTACTTGTTATTTGATACAAAGTTACTTGATATTTGATACAAAGAATTTTCTTGTAAAAATTATTCTATTTACCGAAACGCTATTTACATAAATAAATCGCAATAGCTTTAGCAATAGCGATAACATTCTCGGTCAGAAATAGATGACCCGTAATTATTGATGCGAGAAGCACGTTTATACTTTTTCTCCGAGAAATATTCACTGATATCAATGAATCGAGAGGGGATTCCCTGACCGCCGCGGGAGTTTCCTTTATCGCATGAAGTCATTCGTTTCCACATTCTCATATAGACATGTGTCAAGATTCAAAAGTAATTAATCATTCTTTAAATCAAGTATCCTCAATTAAATACAGCAATATTACTCGCTTTTCCTTATTCTTTCATGTTCTTATTAATTCTTAATGAGTAAGCTCTTAATTAATATATTTAACTTTATATAGTTTTGTAAGAATTTGGTTACAGAAAATTAAAATTTAATCTCATATGAATATACGTAAATTATTAAATCCTGAATTATTTACAGATTTACATAATTCAAATACTTTCTTGGTAATAATATTCTTTTACAAAATAGTTTAACGACAATTTAATGACATAGCAATAATAATATATAAATTTTTATTTCTCTTATTATTTATTAAATTATTTAATCTTTAATCAGAAACAATTCTTAAACGAAAACAATATAGAAATATAAATAGATAGAAATATAGAGATAGAAATGTAAATTTTTTTTTTAGAAATATAAATAGATAACTGATTATACTACATATTATACTACATGCGAATCATTTAAAATTTATTATTAAAATATAATTTCTATCTCTTGGCACGATATACTTTTCATAGTTTTGCATTGCAATAGTCTATGCAATATGACATAACAAGTGAGTGAAAAACTGTAGCAGACAAAATCGTGCTTTGATGCGACAAATAGGCGGTGGCAAACAGTTAATCGAATGAAACCAACTCCATGAAAATGAGTCATGGTCATTACGGCGAGTTCACTCTTACTTCTCTACGCGCAGGCGATTTTGCCGATCGTCACGATCGCTCTTTCGATCTCGTTGTCCTTCTCCTTCCACTCTCGATTTCGTTGACATTCTATCTGGTAACATAGACACATGCATCTCTCTCACCTGCTAGCTATCGAGTTTCTCAAGACCTACGTCACTGGCTCTACGATGCCAATTATCAATACCTAGACTTATTAAATATTTTGTTCGAAAGGCCAAACGTGTTTACGTGTATACTCATTTTTATCGTTTAACGTTTTCTTTTAGAAAACGTACAGAAAATTAAGATGATCGGACTGACGCAAGTATTATCCAAATCCATATTTCAAATTATACGATAGATCTAATAGATGTGTTAACAATTTTTTCCTTAGATAGTTTAATTCGTTAAGAACATGTTATGTATAAAGCAACGAAAGAAGCTACAAATTTCTTATGAATTTTAAACTAGAATTATATTATTACAATAAAGTTATTTAAATTATCATTAACTATGAAGCATTATACTAAATTTAACAAAAGAATAATAAACTGAGTTAAAAGATATTGATATTTTTAATAATATTAATGATAACTCTCGTGTCTCTTTTAGCGCACATAAATTATTAAATAAGTTAATTTTTAATCCCGTTTCACTTATGAAAATTATTACACAATTTAGCATATATGCGTATGCAACTGTGGATAGTATCACCCTCATGTAATTTCCGCGCTTTAACTAATCCTAGCGTCGCTTTCTCTTTTTATCTGAAATCGTTGTTTTTATTAACATATCCTTGAGTCTGACAAAACACCTTCGATCTCTTCACACGCTTTCTATAAATTATCACGGTCATCTTGATAGCAAGATCCTTATAGTCATTTGCATCAGTTCTCGTCGTAATATACGGAAATGCAATCGCTATCATTTTCTAGTTATCTTGATAAATTTTAAATAACAACGATATACATGTAGACGATACACATGTGGATTTATTCAAGCGTCATATGCATATCGATATTTCAAGGATTCAAAGACCACACCTACTCCACTTACGCACAATAGTATAATTAAATGGGTATTTTCGATATCGTTATATCTCAACAATGATAATTTTTTCCTTAATAGGCGGAAAAATATAAATCATGGATCCCGATAGCTTCAAGGACTACGCCAAGGAGATGGCAGAATACATAACAAATTATTTGGAAAATATTAGAGACAGGTAAGTGATAACTCGCTGTACTTAGGAAATTATTTGACAGTGAATTTATATTATAAGCGATAATTCGTTATTGTATTCCTTAAATAAATACATATAGAAATTTCAAAAATTTTCAGGAGAGTCTTGCCTACCGTAGAACCAGGATACATGAAGCCTCTTTTACCGTCCGAAGCACCACAAACCCCTGAACAATGGAAAGATATAATGGCCGATATCGAAAGAGTAATAATGCCAGGCGTAAGTGACTTTTAAATGTTTTAGATTATCGTAACTAATAATATAATTTACACAGTTTGACATAAATTGTCAATCTTTTAGATAACTATAATAATGACATATATCTATAGAATGAAATATTATTCGATATTCAAATCGCAAAAATATTTAAAATCAAGAAATCAGGCTATTTTATCTCATCGTTATCTTCAATTATTCCATAAGTAGGCAAGAAATAAATTTAGATAAATTTGTTTATAGGTCACGCATTGGCACAGTCCAAAATTTCATGCATATTTCCCCACTGCGCAATCATATCCTGCAATTCTGGCCGATATGTTAAGCGGAGCTATTGCGTGTATTGGATTTTCGTGGGTAAGTACAAAAAGTAGAATCAAAAATGTAAATATTTTAAATGATTAATATAAACGCATACATTTTGGAAATAAAATATTAATTGATATTCTATAAAATAGTTTATAAGAGAAGAGTTCAATTTCTTTAAAAATAAGTTATGCTGCTTTTCGTGATGTACAGAAATTAAAATAATCTTAACAATAATAAAATTTCTTGCTTATTTGTTAATTGTATATGTTAATTTCATGAAAAATTAAAGCGCGAAATTATATCGAACTGAGGTTAGAATAATTCTTCTTTTAACAATTTCGTTTTAATTTATAAATTTTTCAAATTTCTTATATTCTAGATCGCGAGTCCAGCTTGTACTGAACTAGAAGTAATCGTATTGGACTGGTTAGGAAAAATGTTAGACTTACCGAAAGAATTTCTTGCCTCCAGCGGTGGAAAAGGCGGTGGCGTCATTCAGGTAGACGACATTTTATAAATAGCATCTACAGAAGATTATCTAGATATCTAGAACATACTTATTCCTGAAAAAAAAAAACAAAGAAGCTCTTAGGCTCGTGTTTTAAATACAATTTTTATCTGCAGGGAACAGCTAGCGAAGCCACTTTGGTAGCGTTATTAGGAGCGAAGGCTAAGAAGATAAAGCAAGTTAAAGAGCAGCATCCCGATTGGACGGAAAACGATATCATTAGCAAACTAGTCGCATATTGTTCTTGTAAGTACATCTTACTATGGTATTTGTATCTCTAATATGCCAAACTTATACAAATTCTATAAGATTTTCATCAAACCACAAAGAATTCGCCGGTTAATTCACATATCAAGTAGCGCGATTTTTCAGTCTGAAATGAATTTATGAATATGCACTACTTACAGAATACAGATGCACAAATTATTGCTGAATGAAATAGTCTTGCTTATCTTTGTCGAGTAAAGATGTAGCGTGTAACAATAGACGTGCCACATGTGATGTACAATGCAAAGACTTTAAATAGACACTTGAACTCTGACATGTATCTCGATAAGTGTTAAATGAGCTATGACAGTCATAGTTAAGCCTTATATAAGAGAGACATTAAAAAGCCGATATCTTAAAAATTATTTAAATATCATAATAACCGTTCAAATATTAATCTATTATATGTTATTCATATGTGAAATATTATCATTTCTTTGATGCAAGTATTATTACGAAAAATATTATACAGACTAAGTAGCATGCAACTAATTAAAAAAATTAAATCGTCTCGTTCAAACGTCACAAAAATAATAAATTTGTTATTTTATTTTTAATGTTATTTATTCTGAGTACTAAAAGTTATATTTTTTTAATGTATCATCGCAATTAAGAACTAGGGTAATCGCTGATTTAAAATAGCAATTCTTTTTTTATTCGTATTCGTTGCATTACCTTGACGCGTATTGATATAATGGTGAAAAGTGTCAGGTCGCTTTCAATGACCGAGCGTAATCAGTGCAAAGAGGAGTGAATAGAGGGGAATGAGAGGGATGGAGTGATAGGGTGAGTATGGGGTTCACGGCACTTCATCAAGCAGCACTTTGTCGCCATGGCAACTCGTAATAACCGCTCCAGTTATATTTCAGACCGAACTTTCTCTGCTATTCTCAACGCCCACAATAATTTTACAGCGCTTTGTCAAAATGGAAAAAAAGAAAATATTTCTAGAATTCTTTTTCAATAGGATGAATAATAACTGCGACATTTGTTCGATTAGAAATATCGGATATTATCAACGAACTTACTACTTATTATTCTAAAAGAATGGGAAATATTTTGCTTCTTCTTGTATTATAATAGCGATTGAAAGTGATACCGACAATTTCGTCGTTATTAAAGAAATTATCTTTCTTTAATATTTTACATAGATCGTTTTTCCATAGATCGTTAAAAAATAAAATGTAGAAAAATAAAAATATTTGTCAGAAGTAATAAATTCGTATATCTGTTTATATAATATGTACATCTTAGTTTTTAAAATTATATTATAAAAAATTCCAAGTAAAAATTAAATATGGATAAACTATTGATATGATGCAATAACAAAAGGGTGTATGAATATATTAAAGCAATTTCGCGGATTTCTCAAAAACCAAATAATTATAATACATTAATCGTAATAAAAGTGTGACAAAATACTGTACTTTTTACAGGCCAAGCACATAGTTCAGTTGAACGTGCTGGACTTCTCGGTGGAGTAAAATTCAGACAATTAGAAGTCGATGAGAAATATAAGCTGCGCGGTGACACATTTGCTGAAGCAATCAGAAAGGATAAAGAGCAAGGATTCATACCGTTTTACGTAAGTCTTACTCAATTTTCTAACTTATCCGATTACTCCTCTATCGATCGCTCCATTACTTCTTTTGTTTCTCTGAAGCATCAGATAAAAATCGTAGAAAATTTCGTATACTACGTAAATACTTCTTTTTTTTTAATTTTACGATATCTTTTATAACATCACAGAATATTGATCTCCCGCTTAATAATCTTTCTATATAAATGATTATTGTGAAATTTAACGTAATAATGAGAAATTGATATTAATTACATTAAATAGGCTATTAAGAAATTATTAAGAAATTATTAAGAAACCAATACTTCAGAGATTGAGTTAATTTTTTATTTATAGGCTGTCGCTACTTTAGGCACTACCGTCAATTGTGCCTTTGATCGTCTCGATGAAATGGGAATTGTAGCGAATCGAGAGGATGTTTGGCTACACGTTGACGCCGCTTATGCAGGTACAAATTAATTTTCTATAATAAAAATAATAATGGACTTCTCAAACAATATATTGCTCATAAAGCAGAATGAGAACAAATCTATTTGATTACAGGATCCTCGTTTATTTGTCCGGAATTCAGATATTTAATGAATGGCATCGAGATGGCAGATTCGTTCAATTTCAATCCGCATAAATGGATGTTAGTTAATTTCGACTGTTCTGCCATGTGGCTTAAGGATCCGACATATATTATAAACGCATTCAATGTTGATCCTTTGTATTTGAAACATGATACGCAGGGTTCAGCACCGGATTATAGGGTAATTATTAAAAGTCAGATAAGAATTGTTTAAATTGATTAGTTTATCGCGTAAAATCATATTGTTTAATAAACGTTATCTAATTGACGTAATTAATTCAGAAAACAATTTGTAAATTCTTGTCGTTAATCGTCTTGTGTGTTATAGCATTGGCAGATTCCACTTGGACGCAGATTCCGATCTCTGAAACTTTGGTTCGTATTGAGGCTCTACGGAGTCGAGAATCTTCAAAAGTTTATTAGATCGCATATTGCTCAAGCACACGAATTCGAGGCATTAGTGCTCTCTGATCCTCGCTTCGAAATTATAGGCGAAGTTCTCATGGGACTGGTTTGCTTCCGATTGAAGGTAAATCGATTGCTCTAGCAAACATTTATCATAAACAAACATTTATAAAGTTTTTTTAATACGTATATATTACTATGTGTACTCAACAATATTATATCAATTTAAAAAAGATATTTATAATTTTTGTAAATTTCAAATTAGAAAATAGAAAAATATATTTAGAAATAATTAATTGACCGACAAATATCGTGTAAATTATTTCTATAAATAACATAAGGAAACAGCAAAAGTAATTTTATATCTAATGATTTAGGGATCCAATGAACTCAACGAAGCTCTGCTAAAGAGAATCAACGGTGCAGGAAATATCCATCTCGTCCCGTCAAAGATAAAGGACACGTATTTCCTGCGATTGTCTGTCTGTTCGCGATTCAGCGAGAGCAAGGATATACAGTATTCCTGGAAAGAGATCAAGCTGAGAGCCAACGAGATCCTCGAAGAGCAATCGGTTTCAAAGTGATGGCGCGCTCAGATAGCTCGCGGTTGTAGATCATTGGCACCTGCTACTTGCAATCAATCCTAATTTTCAAGTATTTCTCTATACCCAGCGGCTCTTGAGGACCAAGTAGACTAAGGCAAACTGCAGACTGCAAACGATCGTACGCGAGTAAGCGATAAAAATTAGGATTTTTTAATTATACAATTGAACAATATTTCCAAAATGCAAAAGTTTGTTTGTTGCATTCCAATTTGGCAATTTTATTATAGCTTAAATTAATAAGATATTCAATGAGAATTGAAATGCTACATAACAAATAATGATCTCTAATTAATCTTTCGGTTACGTGGTTGTCAAAAAATTCAAATGTGACACCATGGTTTGAAATATAAATTTGGAATTTATTATTTCAATACTTTCATCCTATAATATATAGTTATTATCTGAAGTATTATATTACATATCGATATAAGTTAATTATTTATAAAATGAAGGAAACATATCAATTTTAGAAAACATGCAAAAAGAAATTATATATTTTTACAAATTCTTTTTTCTATCTCTATATGTATATTTATGTTTATATTTTAGTAACTAACGAATCTAAAAGTATTCTATATATTACAAACATATAATTATAGAATCACATACTTCCTTAAAATTTTATTTCAATTTATGTAAATATAACATAAAAATGTCGTCTGTATTGAATGCGTGATACTTGTTATATTGTGATTTAGGCACATGTTATTACGCGAATGTTTATATATTACATTTATATATTATCAAATATATATTACAAAGAAATAATTTATTATGTAATCAGATAAAGCACTGGACGTAAAATTTTGATAAGTGGATGTCGCGCGTAGTAGTCGTGCAAATCTTAAATTACATTGTACAAATTTATAAAGTAGTGCGCGTATTTAAATTTCTTTTATTGTTTTATCGAATAAAACAATTATTTTACTTACATACAAAATTCTATACAAAGAGAAACGTTTTAAAATAACTGCTAAGTCAGGAATCAGTGTGTAGCCTGCTGGGATTCATGTTAACCACATAATAGATATAATGCAATATTAGGAATCAGTGTGTCGCCTTGTGCCACTTTTGCTGGCATACTATCAATGTTATTGTATGTTACTCCTTAAGCAACATCCTTGTACATTACGTAGTGAAAGTCTCTCGCGCATAGCCACTGCAAAGATATGCGCGATATAAATGTAATTTTAGCACATAATTTTAAAAACGCGTAAAATATTCTTCAACTTCTATTCTGATATCAAGCCGATATTTATTTATTATTTTGCAAGCGTAAAAGATTACATATGCAAAAAATTATTCGTGCAAAATAATTTATAATTAACTTGATGTATAAAGAGTGAGATACGACTAACCCATTTAGTTTCATGACATAATTGCGAATCTGAATTTCCCACCGAAAAGTTTATATTCTTTTTCAAGCAAAGAATTAATCTCATTTTAAAATTCGTTATTATTAAAATCTTCGCACACATTGAAAATGTATGTAGGTAAGAGATATTATGATAATGCATATTGTATATCTATATATGTTAAAAATATAAATAATTATAATTGTGTTAGAGAAAATTGTAAAATCTATGTATGTAACATATTTTTCTCTCTTGAATCTGTTTTCATTTCTTTGGAGTTTTTTCTAAGATTTATTTTAAATCTCTACTTTCATTGCAAACATTCTCAAGTCACTATGTCGTTAGAACAGCAATTGAGAAGATAAGTACTTGTAATATTGTAATAATGTCTTTCAAACGACGAAATGATTGAGAATGATTACTATAACGTATATATATATGTGCGTGCTAATACTTGCTGTAACGTTGTGCTGCAACAGAGACAATAATAGTAAGAGAATTAATCAACAAGACATAGCCTGTCGAAAAGGTTGAAATTCAAATATTTTGGATCGAGATAAAAAGAAAACATAGATTTAAATGATGACTAAAATAACTGCTATATTATTGCCAAATAATTACGTTTAAATAAAAGTAAAAATACAAAAATAACTCGCAACAATAATTAAAAATAGAAAATGTGAAACTATAATAGAGCATCCAAATATTTAACTATTGAATTATAATACGAATTCAACTCATACTAAGTAATTATTCAGCAATAACTTTATTATTATATTTAAAACTTTAAAATTTTATTCAACAAAAATTTTAAACAAAAGATATATAATATAATATTAATCTGAACAATAAGTTTAGTCATTATGGGACCAATAAATGATTTATTATAAAAAAATTGTATGTATTTGATATAAATGATTGTATTTTCGTTATCTTTGTTCGTCAAGATATTACAAAGTATATTATTTAAATACATATGTGGTCATTAAGAATTTAATTATTAAACTGTTAATAATAACAAAATTAGATTAATAAATGTTTTGAACAATTCATTGTTTCACTAATAATATATCCTTATCTTAAAAATTTCTCTTTATAAAATTATGGAACTCTATATATATATATATATATATATATGTATACATCTAATACAAGTATAGCATTTTAAGTATAAAACTTGATAAAATATTTAATATTAATTTATATGTCGCTTATATCATTAATAAACTTTTTATATTAAATAAATAAACTCATCAGACTACAATAACTGAAGAATGTGGACATGACCGATCATCGGCGATGTAGTTTATATTACAAATGACAAAAATTTTCGGTATTATCTAGATAACATCCAAATTTAAGAACATTTATATATAAATCAAATTGATTAAAATAATTATAAACTAACTTATATTAAATTTAATATAAGTAATATAAGAAAGATGCAACAAATTTCAATATATACATATAAAATTATTATTTTAAATGACAAAAATATTTAAAGAACGAAAAATAAAATAGCTTTTGTAAAATATTATTTATTAAATATAAAATTATATTTTTAAAAATTATTCAGAATTAAAGGATATATACTTTTGGATTATAAAGGCAAGAGATACATTTCTTGCCTTTTCGATCAGAGAGCATTATATGTCATTTTTGAAAACTACAGGAACCGTTTCTATCGATGCAAACGTATAATATTTCTACCGATTAAAGAAATTTCTTTCTTATCGAAATAGGAAAATATCGATGATACAATAAAACAATATCAAAAATACATCTTACATTAACGATAAATAATACAAAATATTTAAAAATTAAATAAAATAAATGAGAATAAAAAATATTTCCTAATTAAACATTGATATATATTTATATATATATTTTAAATGTATATACTTTTTAATTTCTTTTTATAAACAAAAATATTTCAATAATAGAAAAAATAAATTTATATAAATAAAAAATATACAAAAACATATAGAAATAAAATAAGAAATATGTTCATGTAAATATTAAATATTAAAATGTAAATATTAAAAAGTAAAATAAACACGAATATTAAATTAATATAATAACTTTTAATGATATAATTTAGTTATAAAATCGCTTCCATCAAATTAATACTAAATGGCATATATCTTTTTATGAAAAATTAACATATTTATTTTACTAGATAATATCGAGAAATGTGAAATTCATAAAAAAAATAAACATTTAATTTTTTGCATTACAACTTATTTTATGAATATACAATTATTTATCGATAAAATCAATAAAATGATAACTTAATAATTATTTTAATTCCATTGGACGTTTGGGTCAAGGCGATCGCTAGTCTGCTCGAATCAGCTAAACCTTCTTTTTAGTGTAGGTGTCAAAGAAATATTTGAGTGAAGATGAGGCAGCGGCCACCGGTAGTTAATAAGCAGAGAACGTATAAACGAGAAATAGCAGTGGGATTAACGACCGTGACGCCGATATTCTTTCTTTTCGTACGACGGGCGGGAGATGTTAAGAGAGATGCACTCAAGAGACGCGCTAAACCGACTGCCACGAGCCACAAGGGAGTGACAGGCGAGAGCTAGAGCTACCCGATGGCGGTTTATATAGCTTCGAGATATTTCACTCTCTTAATGTGACACGGAGAAAATAAACCGCTTCTGCGAGTCCATCTCGCGTTTCCTAATGTATTCATAGAATTTTTCGAACGGGTTCATTACCCATTAAGCCGTTGGAAGGTTTATCAGAACGCTCTGTTCGTCTTTCATGATTGATTCACAATGACACTTCAAAGGTGTGTATAATGCGTTACGAAGCAAAAAATTGTATTAAGCTAATGAGTTGCTTTCTCTTCATTGTTATTTCTATTTGTATGCAACGACAACACAAATTTTAAATTGTAAGAAACGACAGAGAAAATTGTAAATTGCAAGATGAAGATTTAAAACAGATAAATAAAATTGAGATTTAAATAAATATTCATAATTTTAATCATAATAATAAATATTCATAATTTTACATATAAGTATACTTGATTAAATAATTATGATAATCCTGAATTCTCAAAACGCTTTCAGAACATCCATTCAAATAATATCTTGACATACTGCGAGAGAATTTATAAATTATTTAGCATTGACACTGAATAAGAGTAAAGTTATATAAATTCCTCTATCAGAAACTGGCACCCTGGTGGGGCGATTAATACATTAAATTACATTAAAATTACAGCACATCATAAATCACGATAATATTACACGATAGTCTACGAGAATCCGTGCTTTAACGTGCCGCTTTGTCGCTCGAGGAGGCTGAAGGAGGTGGGGCCTCGGGGTGTCGGGATCTGTCGGCTGACATCTGATATGTCTGGTCCCCCATTATTATTCCTAACGTGAGGCGGCTATTAGCCGCCTACTGGACAATCGACGGAGATGCCGGCAAGTGAAGCACACCGCGAGGCGCATCAGCAAACGAAACAAGAACTGTTGTTCTTCCCGCGGCGATCGTTAAGCCAATCAGCTGAAACGTGGATCGTCCAACAAGAAGGAATAGAAGAAACGTACGATCGAAAGAGCATCCATGTTTAAATTCTTTCCCTTCGATAAAATACAGTTCACGTCCATCTCGCGAGCTAACCCAAAGACATTATTCCGAATCTTTTTCTACCGCTACAGAGATTTTCAGGAAATGTGTTGCAAAGGACATATTTGATGAAAATAATGTTTTTTCCAAGTGAGATATAACGATCCTGTTACAGACGGGAAAGTTAACAAAAGGAAGAAGTAAAAACGATAATGCTTTTTTAGTCCTTCAAATTACTAATTAAATTTTACTTCCTTCGTCTGCGATTGTTCAATTTATTATTTTTCAAGGTTGTTTTCCTACTTTTTTTCCTTCGTCAATGATCAGATACGTAGTTTCTTATTTTTTACGGATATATAAAAAGAGAGATAGAAAAGAGAACATGTCTGCCGATTATCAAAGTGA